TCTTTTCAACTTTCCCTCACGGTACTAGTTCACTATCGGTGACTAATGAGTATTTAGCCTTACGGGGTGGCCCCCGTTGCTTCCCACAAGATTTCACGTGTCTCGTGGTACTCAGGATGAAACACGGAGAGTTAGTGATTTCGAATACGGGACTTTCACCTTCTTTGGTACGGCTTTCCAACCGCTTCTTCTATCAATAACCTTTGTAACTCCTAATGCGTTTTCCTACAACCCCAATCTACAAACGTAATTGGTTTGGGCTATTCCCATTTCGCTCGCCACTACTAAGGGAATCATTATTTATTTTCTTTTCCTCCGGGTACTAAGATGTTTCAGTTCTCCGGGTTCGCTTCTAAGTATCATGTAAACTCAGATATTATCACATTACTGATAATGGGTTGTCCCATTCGGAAATTTCCGGATCGTAGCCTATTTCCGGCTCCCCGAAACTTATCGCAGGATATCGCGTCCTTCGTCGCCTATTAGTCCCAAGTTATCCACCATACACTCTTAGTAACTTATATTTCGGTAAAATCTTTTTTGCGTTCAGTTTTCAAAGAAAGAGAGAGTAGAAAAAATATACCTCTCAAAATTAAGCAGCGGGGAAAAATCCGCTTATTTTTCAAAAGTATATATGAATGTTATTTTATAAGGTAATAAGTTTTAATTTAATTTAATACCAGCACTACGGGCAGTGCCAATCACAATTTTTTTGGCTTGTTCTAGGTTATCAGTATTAAGGCTGGGCATTATTTGCTGGGCTATTTTTTCTAATTCAGCTTGGGTAATTTCTTTTTTTTCGCCCACGGTTTTTTTTATTAGATAGCTACTAGGAGGAGTGCTAATAGTGTAGTCATAGGACTTGTCAGCATAGACGGTTATTTCGACATTAACCAACTCACCATTTTTATTTTTAGTTTTTTCATTGAACTCACGACAAAAAAGAGCCATATTTTTTAAAAAAGCTAAACTGGCACCCGGTTTGGCTTGTCCGTAAACTAATTGAATACCACTGCGACGAATAATTTCTTTTTTCATAATAATTAATTATTTTAAGGCGAGAAAGGTGAAAAAATAACGAATTCCCGAGAAAATTGTATAGACAGACAACAAAACTCCAAAAAATAAAGAAAGAATTACACATAAAAAGATAAGTGCTTCGTGATTTTGGTAAATTTCCTATAATGTCATATCTACTGTAAAAAATCCAATGGCATAAGCACACACAAAGAAAACTGTAAGAAAAAATCCTGTTTTTCACAGGACTGGAAATTCTAGGCACAGTTGAAATACTGCTTCAAGTAATATGACAAACAACAAAAAACCTAGACAAATCCACACAATTTTTAGACTATCACGTCTATTTTGGGGTTGCAATAATTTTTTTTATAGACTCTTTGATTAATAATAATGCTAGTTATATATAATAAATATGGTAGGACTAGGTGGACTTGAACCACCGACCTCACCCTTATCGGGGGTGCGCTCTCACCAACTGAGCTATAATCCCGCTTATCACTCTCTCCCATATTAATATTTTTTAATTTTGCTTTTTGTCTATATACCAAGCAAAGTATATGACAACAAAAATCAACACTAAATAACGAGGTGCTTAATACCTATCAACCGAAATTAGTTAAAATCACTGGGATATTAACCTCCCGAATTGAGAAAAAACCCAGCAGTGATATTCCCGCTTATGGCTTTTTTAAATTAGAAGGAGGCGAATGTGCCGAACCCGAGGATAGTCCGATTATTTTTCGCATCAAAGCAAGCGGAGCTTGAATTAAACCACCTATTCCCCAAGTCAGTGAAGTGAGATTAGCAGGAATTTGAACTAATCCTAAAAACTCGGATCGACCTTCTTTTACAGCTTATTTTCTTACCAACGAGTAAGGGGAGCCATTGCCCGAATTCCTTTTCTGAAATAGTTTTTAAAGAAGCCATTCCCATCGACCAAGAATTTTTACCCCGAGAACAGCATGATTTCCGAGATTTAGTAAAAAGTTTAAAGGGGAGAAAAGGCAAAGACGGAGCAAGAATACCCACTAAAATAACCTTTTTGGCTAATGATTATTCGTGAAGTGCTTGGTTATTGGATGTTTTTACTAACTTATTCAAATTAAAGAAATTAGCCGAAGAAAAGAAAACTAAAAAAGATAATTCGGGTGTTTTGGAGATAGTCAAGGATGAAAAAGGAGTAGAATGATTATTATATTTGAACTTAATTGAGGGAGACCACGACCCTCATTCCTTAGCTTTACAGGAGAGAATTAACCCCTCTACTCGGAACTGAGATGATTTTATGATAGACGAACCCAAAAAATACCAAATTATTTATGCTATTCAGGATTATTATTTTTGTGAAATAGGACACAGGATAAAGAATAAGAAATATTGTCTCATTCATTTTAGCAAGAACAAAAAAGAACTAGACAGCAAACTAATTAATTTTTGCTTTACTCAGGAAGAAGTAGCCAAGAGTAAATTAAAAAACTGTGTCTTACGAGATAAGCCAACTTTAATTAGTAAGTGAATTAAGATGTTGAAGGCTGATATGTTATCTTTTGTTGATTATCGAAGTCGAGATTGATTTTTAGAGCAGTTAAAATAATGAATAACATAATAGCAGCCGACCCAGGAGGAAAAACAGGTCTATATTTCACTGATGGCAAGATAGAAGAGTTTTTTGAAATAAATAATAAGAATTGAAAAGAGAACTATTTAGCCATTAAAGAATTAGTCCAGCAAAAACAGGCTAATTTAGTGCTTTTTGAAGATACTAACTATATTCATAAAAGAACTAAGGATGGCTTAAACTTATTTCGTTTACTGGGTGCTATTGAGTTTTTAGAAGTGGAGAAAGTTAGTAGTGTAAATGTTCTCAAAGTAAAAGAATTAACTAAAAAACTACTGAAAGGAACTTGTAAGATAAAGGATTTAGAATATAAAAAAGGAAGAGGTAAAGGCTGAATGTTTAAAGGTAAAAGAGTTAGTATTCATTGTTTAGAGGCTTATTTGGTTTATTATATCTGAACTAATAATTAATCCCGACAAGCAACATGTAATCCGCGAATAATTATCCAGGCTGGCAAGACCTCATCAATATCAGGAAAGTAAATAGTTTGTCCTTCTCCTCATAACTCATATTTTTTTAATTGTTCGGGTTTCACATCCTTATCTAATATTTGCCATTTGGTCAGAGCAGACACAGGAATAATTATTTTTCTTTCGTCGTCTAATTGAGTTATTAATTCTCCCTTATTTATTTGACAACTGATAATTTTGGCTAATTGTTCTTGATTAATTATTAGTGGCTTATTGTCTAACTGAACTTCTTTTAACCTTACCATGATATAACTAATTTTATACCTACTTTGATTAATTGTTTTTTTATTATTGCCATAATGTCATTATAATTTTCTTTAACAAATTTTTTTATTTCAGTTTTCTCCTCGTCAGCAACTTTCCCTCATTGGTCTAATATTCGATAATCTTTTAAATAGATTTCAATTTCTCCTTTTTGTCCGATAAAGTGAATATGTAATCATGCGAGGGGTTTGCTACCGATTGGCTGATATTCATGAGGATAAAAATAAGAACGATAACCTTCTCATTTCCTCCGTGAGTCAGGGTCTTTAAAAAGTTGATTCATTAATATTTTTTTCTTTTCCTTTTTTCTCTTTGCCGCTCAGCTGCCGTGGCTGCTCGGTCAGGGTGATATTTTCTTGGAGCTCCTATTTTTCCTTGTTGCCCTTTTTCCAGTATTTCTTTGGCTAGTTCGGGGGTTAAAGTGGCTAAAAATGTTTTTTCCTTCTCCTTTAAGGGTTGCCCTTGACTTAATTTGATTTTTATCCGTTCAGCTTTTTTTCTTTGGGCTTCATTATCTCATTTGGTTGGTCGTCCTCCCATAGTTCCATAGGCTACATAATCATCAAAACTTCTTTCTTTCAGCCAACCTGTTCTAGTTGGGTCATAATTTTCATAATACTCCTCGTCAAATCTACCTCTCCGTAATTCATACTCTTTTTTGCTATATTTAGTTTTTTCACCGTTGGGGCAGTTTCAAAGTTCTCAATATCTCGAATACTTCTTTTGACGTGGGAAAGATAGTGAATAAAGCAAATATTTATTAAAGGTAAATCCCGCTTTTTTCGCAAAAAAAATAATATATGCCTCTAATGAACTCCGCTCCTCCCTCTAAGATTAGAATTGTCCATTTAGCCGATATTCATATTAAGGATAGTCGGCGCGAAGAGTACGCGTTGGTCTTTCAAAGATTATATAAAAAATTAGGCGAGTTAGTTCCCGATATCATTGCTATTTGTGGGGATATATTTCATGATAAAACCAAAGCCACTGCCCATAATTATTCGGATGTGGAAGCTTTTTTAGTAGCCTTAACAACCCTAGCCCCCGTAGTTCTTATTCCCGGTAATCATGATTTAAATGTTAAAGTTCCTGGTGCTCCGGATTTAATTTCTCCTGTAATTACTAATCACGCTATCCTGAAAGAACCCCGTTTTAATTATTGACGGCACTCGGGAGTGTACGTGGCTCAT